ACTGACCGCTGCGGCACACCTGCACCAGGGCAAACCTCCGCCTACCCAACTCCTGCTTTACAGGTGAAAATAGAGCAACAGGACCGCTAGTCTTTGACTTTATTTATTTTCTGCTGTGTTTTACTTGCACTTATTTGAGTGAAAAAAATATTTTATTTTATGTGCTGGAATGTGCAGAAAATAGGTTTAAATGTTAAACAAATTTCTTCCAGTCAGAGAATGTTACATATACTTAAATTTTTGCTTGATGCATAAAGTTAAAAGATTAAAACTAATAAAACAAGTTTTAAAAACATTTTGTATGATGGATTATGCAGAAAAAGTAGAATTGGGTTGAAAGATCTATTGCTTTATCGCCTGTTCAGGTTGTAAATCGTGCTTTTAAAGAGTAACTAAGTAATTAATTACTTTTAAGAATAAGTAATCAGTAATTAGTTACTGATTACTTTTTTCAAGTAACTTAACCAACACTGATCATGACACTTTCTAAAGCAATTATAATTTCTTCAAATGCCACAACTGACATATCAAATTTATGACTTTACCGTGTAACATTATGTCAGACTATGTAAATGTAAATTAGTGCTTTACCACAACATCGAAGGACATTCCTGGCTTGAAATATTTTGGAGTTCTTTTAAAGTGGATCGTATAGGGTGATGTAACAATCTGGATACCTCTAAGCTCGGCCTCCACCATTTCACTACCTGTGACAGGGTACAAGAAAATAATTATACATACTCACCAAAAATTGCCAGGATTCATAAAAAATAAAACAAAAAACAGTAATTTCTCATTTCTGACACAGATGTTCTTATTTTAAATGTGTGTGTGTGTGTGTGTGTGGGGGGGGGTTCTTACCACTTTCTGTCAGCACACTGACAGATACAAATATGGCGCCCCCTACAAGGCTGTTGATGTCCCTCTCAACTTTTGTTATGTCTTCCCTCCTCAGTGTCACCTCTCCTTCACCATTTTCAATCTAATTCAGCAACATAAAGATGTTCATGTAAAGATATGTTCTACACTTATAGCACAACAATACAGTTTCTGAATAGTAGGAGGTATTTAAACTCTTATGTCAGCTTTGCTTTATATGGACATGCTAAATCTTAAGTATAAATATGGGCTCACCAGCACTCTTTGAAGAGAGTCTGGAAAACTCTGCTTACTTTGGTCCTTTTTGATGACCCCAAATACCACATAGGCTGTTCCATCCACCTCCTGACCAAACAGATACCTTAAACCATGAAATAAAGATGTGCTTGTGAACAACCAGTTCAAACCCAGATCAAAATGTAACAACAAACAATCACATATATACTACTTAAATCCACAAAACAATTACATACGTAGCTTTGATTCTGACGGTGAAATCTCTGCTGTTCACGTGGAAGAACTGTGTTAATGGTGTCAGTTTCACCTCAAAACTGGGAAGAACTGCAAGATTAAAATATTTTCTTTGTCAAGTTCAAATTTCTTTTTGTATTGCACATTTAAAAACAGTAAAGAAATGTTGTGCAGGTACTGTACTGATAATGGGATGCTCACCATACTCTTTGACCTCAAATTCTGCAGAATAGATTTGCTGTGGGTTGCTCTGGAATTTTGCCACCACTTTCCACAGTCCAGTACTA